ATCATGTAACAAACCATGGTCTCGTGTCAACGTCTAAACGATACGAAAAAGAAGAAGAAGAGAATGAAATTTCCAGCCGGATTCCAAATTCGCAGGAACAGAAAATAGCTCGAACATATTTACTTCAGTACATCTTTGCATATGTACTTACTAACTATTGAAATCCACTGTTTGTGACGGGGACTATCCGTTTTCGGAAAGGCGTACAGGTGATCTTCTCGTCGACTACTGTTGTATCCGACGTAAGTGCAGAAATCTTTAATATCTTGCTTCCCCGATTCCATGAATCACAACACTGTTTAATATTAACTCACAACACAAATCGAACGAACAAATCCGCGAAAAGGTCAAAGAAATCTTTCGTCCGCTTTGTAATTTGTTTGCCGTTTGGCGCACAAATGAGTCCTTAGATACGAAAAACGTATCTATGTTTTAAGATTTGAGGTAGGGGTGCCAGGTAGGTACTTTCATTGAGTGTTTTGAACATTGAAAGCGAATTATGGATGCAAAAAAATATGCCTTCAAAATCAACGATTCAAAATCATGTAATATTCATCTTACAAAAAATATGTGAAAAATCGCTTTTCGAATTTTTTATATTCATTCATTTATATATACTATTTTTATTACTGTTTCAGATGCGGAAATTAATAAAAAAACTACTATATAGCAGAGGACGGCGTGGTGGTGGCCGCGGAGGACGGTGTGGCGGCGGCGCGGCGGCTGGGACAGCAGACGCGGCGGGAGCCGCCGATTTTTATTTTTAAAAATTATTAATTAACTTATAGTTAACAAAAAAAACTATTAATTCAATTACTGTAAATAAATAAATTATTCATTAAAAAATTAAAAAATTATCATTCTTGTAATAAATTTTTATTAGCTCTTGAAATAAAATGTAAAAATTAAATCAATATAACCCTATTCTTCATTTATTCCAAACTACGTATATTTCAGCGAACTTAACTTTCAGAAATTAACTATATGTAGTACTAGAGAGAAAATGAGAGTGCTCATGCCTTTGCTCTCGCGTGGGACCACAACGAAAGTGCTGCACCTCGCGGCCAATTCGGAAAGAACATCCACCGTAGCATATTCCAGCACCTTTTTAGCAGAGATGTACCCGGTTCGGTTCCACCGCAGCATAGACACAGTGTAGGCAGTATTACAGATGAGATATACGAGTTTATACATATCGAAGAGAAGTCGTTCGCGGCCGAGCGGTAGCCGCGATAGCCTCGAAGAACAAGGAACAATGGATAATTTTTATTTCCATACTATTTTCTTATTGTTTTGCTTATTATTTCGTTATTTTCATTTTATTTATTAGCATTATTAGAAGACAATACATTTGCTTTCACGACAGACGGATGGACGTCAAGAGTTGTACAAAGTTATCTTTCATTGACAATGCACTATACATATATCAAAAGATATTGAATTACAACATTTTATGTTAACTTTAAAACATATCCCGGAAAGACACACACATGTTTATATACAAAAAACACTATTACAGTGCTTACGTGACTGGCAAATAGATACCGAAAAACACGCTTTTTTTACAACGGATAATGGACGAAATTTAATAAAGGCAATAAGTACGCAAAAAAATTGGACAAGAGTCCCATGTTTCGGACACTGTTTGCAATTAGTAGTGAAGCATGCTATGAGAAATTTTGTAATATATGCTTCATTAAGAAAAAAATGTCGAGCAGTTGTTGCGTTTTTTGCAAGATCCACGGATGCAAGAGAAAAATTTATGAACTTGCAGAAAGATATAGAGGAAGGCGTAGATCCTTTTACAGCTTGTACAGGAAGTCGATACGAGATGGAATTCGACTTATTTAATGTTCGACAGATCTCTAAAGTTGAAAACAGCATTATATATGATATTGTGCGAAGCTAATATGCCAGAAAACTTGTCACCAGAAGACTGGACATTCATGAAATGTTTCATTACAGTGTTAGAACCATTTAAAAGTGCTACAGAAATTATGAGCGGCGAACTATACCCAACAATTTCACGGTACTATCCAATGTATCATGGACTGATAAGTGTACTAGAAGTTAAGAAAGGTGAGGAAATCGATGACGGAACGGGGGTATTAATTTTAAATGTTTGTACAAAATTGCAGAATGCATTAAAGGTAATTTCTACTAATAACCCCAATATTTTAACAAATAAATGTACTTAAAAATGTCAAAATGAATTATCTTGTACAAAATGTGATATTTTATTCATAGGAACGCTTTGAAAGTATGCTGAAAGATCCATGGTATACTAGTGCGATGATATCCACGTTACAAGGATCAATTGTTAAAACCCGAACAGAAAACAACAGGCTACAATAGAATATGTGAATTAATAACAAAATACCATAAACAAGTGAATGAACCGTCAATTGAGAATACTCCTAGTAGCGCTACTACTAGTACAAGTACCGATAGTATGTATGCGATTTAACCGTATAGAATAAATATACTACCTCTACTACTATTTATTAATGTCACCCGTTTTATAAGTAGAGTATATGTTGCAATCTATTGCTTAGGTTCAACAAAATCTACATTACATAACTTTTTTAAAACTGTGTTGAGAAGTTCCGATCGTGAGACTGAGACATTCGACGATAAAAAGGAGAAGGAAGTACGATTATACTTAGCGGAACATGTAGTATCTCAGAATGTTCGAGTCAGAGCCGGCTATGGATGATTTGAATTTCGCTCGCTTGTGCGAGTCATCACGTCGTCGCTCTTTTGTACGATGCGTACGCATTGGCCCGATTGGGGGAGGTGACGCCGGAGTGAATCGGCTAGCTCGGGACAATCGGTTCGTCTTTTGTCTCAGTAAGCGAGCGCTTGGTGGTTTTCTGATACGTACCGATTTTGCTGAGAGAGTTTGCTTTAATTGTGGTGGCGTGTCCGTTTGCGTAACTGCTCATGGAGAGCAGGAATTTAGCGTTATATTTAAGCGATTCGTTCATATCGTGATCGAGCTTGCGCGATCTTACGAATTCACGATCGTGACCATGCGTGCGTGCGTGCGCGAATTGCGTTTTGGTTTAGCGGGTTCTACGTGCACTTGTCGGCGTAACCTAGCTAGAGATTCCTGATATTTTCGACAGCAAGTGTTGCTGTTTTGCATTCGCACGTTGGACTCCTCGAGACGTCGGGACGCGTGCATTGCAGGTCAAGGACCACCCAGGTTTCTCCTTTCCAGCTTGACCACTAGAACGTGGTGCAACGCTGTGAGTTGTTTCGGTTCCACTCAGCATCTTCCTCTGCAGAAGTGTTCGAGGTGGGTTTGAGGAGTTTGTGCGAGCCACGTGGCGTTTTTCTTTTACCAGGTAAGAGAGATCTCTCAACTTATGCGTGAATGATCATTCAACGTTCGGATATGTATATAGATTATAGTGGGTAATAAGGAATCTAGTTTTCATTTGTTTGCTTTAATAAAGTTAGTTAAGACACTCTTGTCCGGCTTTTCCCTCAATTCCGTGAGGGTTTTTATGCCGAAACAAACGTTTAATTCTTTTACCGCAAATTGTGTGTTTTATTTTATACCACCCATCACTCACATCCATTTCCCTTGTTCGAACTCGCCTTGAGTTCGTGGTATTTATCATATTATTGTTCACAGAACACAGACATAATATTACAGGGTATTCCACCTAACTTGACCACCTCAAATATATCGCTTATCTTTTGTGATAAAAAAAATGTCAAGGGGAGAGAATATTCTGTTGGAAGGGGCCAATACGGTGATGGGCCGAATTTTTTTCTCGAGGTCATTTTTTTCGAGATATTAAGGTCATCGTATTTTTTTTAAATGCGACTGCATATTTTCGCTATAACAGTCTTATAGCTTATAAAAAAACGAATCCATCTAGGTGCAATATGTTGACCTTCACGTGACCTTTAACGAGAAAATTATGTTTATAAGGAGAAAAGATAAAGACGAGATTTGTATTATTCAGTGCACAATATTTATTTCAAGAGATTTTCAAAATGTGCACCATTAACTTCAATACACTTTTGGAGACAGTAAATGAATGATTTTTTTACATCATTAAGCACTTCTATGCTAATTGATCTACATTCGTGTAAAATTCTTTCTCGCATATTTTCTGGTGTTGTGGGAGGATCATTATAAACTTTATCTTTTAAGTGTCCCCAGAGGAAAAAATCAAGCGGCGTAAGATCCGGTGATCGAGCTGGCCAACAAATCCTTGCACCTCGTCCTATCCAACGATCGGGAAACATTCTGTTTAATGCATTGCGCGCGATAAGAGCATTGTGAGCTGGACAGCCGTCATGCTGGAACCACATCCTTGATCGATATTGTAATGGAACATCTTCTAACAATGCGGGTAATTCATTGGTTAAAAAATCTGAATATTTTTGTCCATTTAATGTTCCTTCGATAAAGAATGGGCCAATAATTTGATGGTTGAAGATACCGCACCACACATTCACACTCCATGGGCGTTGATTCGGAACTTGCCTCAACCAATTTGGATTTTCCACCGACCAATAATGCTTATTATGCTTATTTATTTGTCCGACATTTGTAAACGATGCCTCGTCAGTGAATAACATGTAATTAAAGAAACGTTGGTTATTCCGCAGTTGCTCGAATGCCCAATTACAAAACTTCCGTCGTCTTTCAAGATCATTATCATCTAGTGCCTGATGTAATGAAACATGGTACGGGTGGAATTTATGCCGCTTTAAAATTCGCCAAACGCCTGTGCGAGACAAGGCAGACTCGTGTGCAATTTGTGAGCAACTAATGTGTGGATTTTTGTGTACCGCAGCCAAAACTGAGATTTCAGCTTCTTCGTTCGTTTTGGTCTTGGACCGATTTCGTTTAGGTGGAACGACACTGCCTGATTCAGTAAATAGTTTCACTATACGGTCGAAATTTCGTCTGGAAGGAACATGACGATCAGGATGTCTTTCTGCATATAACCGTTGGGCATGCATGGAGTTTCTCCCTGCTTCTCCGTAGATTAAAATCATTTCAACTTTTTCTGCTGTAGTGTACATGATGGATAAGCTTATTGTACTGATACCGATGTCGTAGCTTGTTGTGCTGATACTGATTGTAAAGCGAGAATTTTCTGCGAAGATTATCGATTTGATAATAATGCTTGTAAACATACTTCAACCGATGAAAGGACAATAACGCGGTACACTGTTTCAATGAAATTGAAATTCCTTCATTTATTGTCCCCGAACGCGTACTGAAGTTACTGACAAACATTTCATAATTTCCTCGCTAAAGGTCACGTGAAGGTCAACATATTGCACCTAGATGGATTCGTTTTTTTATAAGCTATAAGACTGTTATAGCGAAAATATGCAGTCCAATTTAAAAAAAATTCGATGACCTTGATATCTCGAAAAAAATGACCTCGAGAAAAAAATTCGGCCCATCACCGTATTGGCGCCTTCCAACAGAATATTCTCTCCCCTTGACATTTTTTCTATCACAAAAAATAAGCGATATATTTAAGGTGGTCAAGTTAGGTGGAATACCCTGTATATACTTATACAGGATGTCCCAGAAC